AACCCCCATCAATACTAGAAAATTTAGTGACATAAGTCTTATTACTTAACGAAATTTGGTGGAGATGTGGTGGATTCATACCTTTCTTAAGACAATTTACGCGTAAGTGAATATAACGAACCCAACGGGAATTGGAATTCGGATAAGGACTTGCCATATATCTATCTATCTATCTATCTATCTATCTATCTATATATATATATATATATATATATATATATATATATATATTTTTAAAGCATTTCACCCCAAGCAAGGCAGGAAGCCACTAGGACGCAAGGGGTTACAGAAAATTTAGAGCAAGAAATAATAGTTACTGGATATGAGAAATTTATTTTCCGGATAAAAAAAACTGTTAACAGAAAAAATAAATCTCAACCGGCATTGATTGAATGCCATTTTCAGGATTTATTTAATCATTGGGCTTACCATTATGATAAGATTAAATAAAGGAGTCAACGATATAGATATCGATTCGAGAGCAGATGAAGGACGTTGGTTAAAATTAGTAACATTGTTCCGACTGCTGCCCTCATATTTACTGCCATATATCACGACGTTTCTACCGTTGGACGTTCCGGCCTTCTTCAGGATCTGCATATATTCATGAGATGAGCCAGTATAACTATTTACAATATTTACATTGCTCGGAATGTTGTCCTCATCTTTATTGTCATATTCACGACGTTTCGGCCGTTGTACGCCCCGGTCTTCCTCGGGTCCTGTCTATATTTATAAAATGAGGTATGTTAACTATTTACACTATATACATTGTTGGGACTGTTGTCCTCATCTTTATTGCCATATTCACGAGGTTTCTACCGTTGTACGCTCCGGCAAACTTCAGGATTTGTCTATATCTCTGCGAGGAGGTAGTGTAACTATTTACATTGTTGTACTCATCTTTATTGACATATCTGCGATATTTAGGCCATTGTACGCACTGGCCTTCTTCAGGATGTGTTTATATTTCTGCGATGAGATATCATAACTATTTACAATATTTACATTGCTCGGGCTGTTGTACCTTTATTGCTATATCTACGAAGTTTCGGACGCTGTACGCTCCGGCAACGTTAAGGATCTGTCTATATTTCTGATATCAAGTATTGTAACTATTTACACTATTACATTGTTCTGACTGTTGTTATCCTCCTTATTTCCATATTCCCGACGTTTCGACTGTTGTACTCCGCGGCCTTCTTCAGGTGATATTTGTTGAAATTTCGAATCGAACCCTTCATTTAATCCACGTGGCGCAGTTGCTAAAAATATTGGTTGATTGAACGAAAAGTGACATTGCCTAAAGACATGAGTTCAATAATTCGCCACAGAGAAGGGAACAAAAACATTGAAGCTTGAGTTATCAAAGGGAATTAAATGAAACTAAGATATCCGATTCGTGGCCCGTGGAATTAACTCTGTGGTCTGAATAAAAATCTTCATGAAAGCAAAGAAACCGTCAAGTTAACATTAAAGTCAACGTCAACTCCTATAAAATATTAATACCCTAGATTACACATCACACCAGGTAGTTTTTTGATTGTATTGCTACGTATCGCATGTTATTGTGAAACGCAGTATCCGCCATTTGCATAAGTGATTTAAACAAACAACCAGTAACTGTATTAGTGTTACTATTTTATGTTCACCAAATAAGACTTTTAGTGGGATCTATTTTTGGCAGCTTGCTGGAGCTACAGTAAGTTGTGGACAATAATCGACCGCCAAAATTACAATAGGCTACCAGTGGCCCAAAACTTAGTCCTACCAGTAAATGAAGTTAGGTTAGAGTATACGATAAGCTGTGACAAAACTGTATAAAGTCACACCGCTTACAAGTATATTGAATCATTAACCGTAATATAGTTCTATATGTATTGTATAGCAAACAGCCTACAACACACACCGGTAGATACCGCATATTGTATCGGTATAAGCGAACATTTCAAGGTCAGCTCTACTGATGAACACATTAAAGTCAACATCAACCCTATAAAATGTTAATACCGTAAATTAGACATCACACCAGGTAGTGTTTTGATTGTATTGCTACGTAACGAATGTTATTGTAAAATACAATATCAATCATCCGCCATTTGCATCAGTGATGTAAATAAACAACCAAGAATACTACCAACATTATGCGGCAAAGTGCAAAACTGTGGGCCCATTACGCTATCGGCACTTAGGTCAGTCTCACATCCTTTTAATGATCCCCTATTACAATGGACAAACCAACAAGGCAGTTACTGGGCAACAAATGGGTAACCCATTGTTGTCTTTATGTAAATTTTATGTTATTGGATGCGATGTGTGCTGTAACGCTAAAAGAATACTGGATTTCAATTACTATTTTATTATTTTATGTTATTGTCTGTGTTAATATACCAAATATGTTCACCAAACACAAGTTTTAGTAGAATGTATTTGTGGCAGCCTGATAATATATATTGTATAGCAAATAACCTACAACCCAGACTATTAAGTACTGTATATTGTATTGGTATAACTTATTGAAAATTAAAAATTTGCCAAGGCTACTAGGTTAATATAATACTGAATTTCTGTTACTATTTTATTATTTTATGTTATTGTCTGTGTTAATAGACGAAATATGTTCACCAAATACACGTTTTATTGGGATATATTTGTGACAGCCTACTGGTAAGTGGTGTACAGTAATTATTAGGAGTGCTGTCCCACGTTTTTACAACTTGGTGGTAAAGGTTTGCATTTCATAGCCACTGTATTAGTCGACCCTTAATTTTGGAAAAAATTTGTTGGACTTGAATACTCGACTTGTACACCTTAATCCATTGTATTTATTTATTTATTTTTAAAACAAATTAAAGTTTATTGAAACAAAACAATTTCAGTTGACCATTGATGACAATTCCAGAATAACGTAACAATAAACAATTTTTCTAACCTCTTCCAGCCGCAATGATGGAGAAAGCATTACCTCGAACCATCGCCAGTGAGACACGCTGTAAGAGCCACTCCGTTTCGCGAGGCTCGTCCCTTAATCGAGACGCAATCGCGCCAATCCTCCGAAGGAACGCAATCGAACGAGGGCCAATAATCCCTAAAGTCTCCACTGCCACAGGAGTAAAAACTATCAGCAAGAGAAGAATATTTAACTATTTTTTTTTTTATATCTCTGCGTCCCGGGCGACGGATCCTGGCTCAACCGCGGACCTGATCAAATTACCGACCGAAAATGTATTCGCACAGGTCGCATCCCAAATCAACGACTTCCCCATTTTAACAGGGAAAATGGTAATGGCATCCGGCCGCTTTCCATCACTTTTTATTTTATACTAATTCCTGTGTTAATATGCAAAATATATTCAAGGGATTCATTTTTGGCAGCCTGCTGGATGTACAGTAAGTGGTGTACAGTAATTGTTAGGAGTGTTGTCCCACTTGTTTACAACTTGGTGATAAATGTTTGCATTTTATACCCACCATATAAGTTGGCCCCTAGTTTGGTAAATATTCTGTTGGGCTTGAAGACTCGACTTATACTTCATTGTATTTATTTTTCTTTTGAATATATTTTACTAGTAAACATTCCGATATTTTATGTTTTTTTTTTAAATTTTATTTTACTTAGGAGGGTACTAAAACTTGTACGCCGCAATTTACTGTGTTTATTTTTCTTTCGGAAATCTTTTCAACAGCTACCAAACTATTCGATATTTCTGCTTTTTATTTTATTTCATCTAACATGGGATTTAGAATAATCTTGTACCTATAATGGAAACAAAGCGCCTACATACATGAGAGAATTAGAACTCCTATCAGGATACACTATTGGGGGTCACAATCTTAACATCATAAGATAAATAGATTTATTGCAGACTCAGAAAGGGAACTGAAAGAAAAACAAAGGACGATGATGAAGCAAACCAAGAAGAAAGGACGAAATATCGATTGCAAAAACATGAAATATGTGGATATGAGCAAAAAGAACAACCTAACATGGAAATTACAAATTGGAAATACCAAAAATGAAGCAAGTAAAAGAATTTAAATATCTGGAAAGTGTTTTAACAGACGACGGAAAGTGTGACAGTGAAATCCGAAGGCGCATTGAAATAGTGAAAGATGTCTTCCAAAAGCTAAGCAAAGTATTAAGAAACAGTAAAATATCTGGAAAGTGTTTTAACAAAGAACGGAAAGTTTGACAGTGAAATCCGAAGGTGCATTGGAATAGCGAAAGATGCCTTCGAAAGGCTAAGAAAAGTATTAAGAAACTGGAAAAGTTGGTTCTATTAAAAAAAAAAAAGAAGATTACTGAACTGGTACGTAATATCAGCCCTCCTACATGGCAATCAATCCTGGATAATCTCTTCACAGATGAAGAGACTTGATGTAACATAAATGTGATTCTACAGAAGGATACTGAGAATACCATGGACTGAACATGTGAGCAAGGTTTAGAGAAAATGTTAAAAATGAGGACTTATATTTACGGTTATAAAGAGGCAGTTGACATTTCTAGGGCACATAATGTGGAAAGTTGGCTTGGAAAATATGACACTCACGGGACATAGTAAAAAGCACGAGGGACAGATCCAAAACAGCCCATAATTTAACGCACTAGCTTGAGTAAACACGTGGCAGAACAGGGTTTAAGTCATATAGCAAAAAGACTTAAAAATACTAAGAGTTTACAATTGACAGAGCATTTTGCAGAGTAATGATCGCCAAAGTCCTGGAGGCACGTGCCAGCTAGAAAAGGAGAAGACTTGTTTATTTTCCAACATTAGTAAAGGATATTTTCATAGGAGCTTCAGAAAAGAAAAAAAAAACAAAGACGAAAAGATAAATCAGGCGATAACATTACTCGAAATCGAGCCGCAAAAATCATGCATGTTTATAGACGCCATTTGCCAATTCTAACCGAAATCAATTGTGATTATGATAAGGAAACATATTCCGGGCCAGATTCAGAAATGTACAAGGCATTTAATTCAATTTTTATAATATTGTTAGGCATGGACAGTGGTGGAAATTTGAGACGGGAAACAAATATGTGAAGAGCATATGGTCTCAGGTAAAGAAAATCCATATTGATTTAGGGTTGCATAAGTTAAACGAGTGATCAAAAGAAGTAACACGTGAACGCGGGCAAAACCGAATGATAAGAACACATACAGAACAATAGTAAGAAAGAAAAGGAATAGATAGATAGATAGATAGATAGATAGATAGATAGATAGATAGATGTGAACAGATGAGAATGAATGAAACAGAGATAGATAGATAGATAGATAGATAGATATGAACAGAATAGAATGAATGAAACAGAGATCAATAGGTAAGTAGATAGATAGATAGATAGATAGATGTGAACAGACAAGAATGAATAAAACAGAGATAGATAGATAGATAGATAGATAGATAGATAGATAGATGTGAACAGACTAGAATGAATGAAACAGAGATAGATAGATAGATAGATAGATTAGTACATAGTTGTAAACAGACTTGAATGAAAGAAAAAGATTGAGGACTACCAACTGCAACAGCAACTAAAATAGACAACACATGTAACTCGAAGAGAAAATAAAGACGCATGTATATAATTGTGTGTTTGGGCAGCAAACACTCTTTTATACATGTTTCGTTTAACACAACTCATAAGATACGGTGATTAATCTTTTTATTAAATTTTCCTCGTTTCAAGTACAAGTGTTTACTTTTCTGGACATTACTAAGAAATTACACCTCGAGGCGGTGTAATGGTTAGCAAGCTTGTTTCGCTCGAACAATTACAACTGAGTCGTGAGTTCGATCCTCACCGAGTGCCCCATACTTTCGGCTTGTGCCACATCTAAGCTACGCTTAGAAAATCACCAAGAAATTACTGCATACCTACATAACTAAAGTCCCCTTTTGACGACCACAATGGCAATATTTATGCACAAACTAATGGTGTTAGCGTGGGAAATCGACAGTGACATTTGGGATTCAGTCGCATCGTTGGCGGCAGCCATTACTCGCGTTGTTTGCATACATTCGCTGCGGAAAGCTAAACGCGGAAGACTACAGAAAGTTAAGCTCGGAACTGATCTTTCTTGTCTAAATTTGTCTCAATTACTGTGCAATGATACATACACTGATATCTATTCTGCAGCGAATGTATGCAAAATAATGCCTGTAATGGCTTCCGCGACGTGAATAAATCCGAAAATTTCCCGTCGATAATTCCAAAACGGTAGATTTTATCAAATTTATCAAACCAGATTCGAATGGAGCCTGTAAAATTACAACATAAATGTAAGTTTTTGGAAATTTTTAAAACAAATGCAATCGTCATCATATGACTATTGAATCGCGTTCCTTTTATTGTCCATTCTCCACAGCAATGTTTCCTCAGTTTCCTCGACTCTCAGTAACTCCTTGCATCTTAATGGCTTTATTACCTTGTTTCGTATGACATGGCTAAAATAAGAAAAATAAAAACATATTTCTTGAGATCGGAAAGAATAACTACAAAATAGATTTAATAAAAAAGGTTCCGTTTGTTACCCGTGATGGACAAACATCTGAAGAAACACCGGTGATCTCAACGGCATAGACTCTGTGATAATAACAAAATGGCAGCGTAATTAAGAACTAGATTAAAAGCCGCCTATCAGGCAGCATTTTCCTGAGTTATTGGATAGTGCTCTTGTTTTGCTCTTGATCAAGAGTTTGGGAAACCCTAAGTCTTTGTATATTCTCAGCATTGAAAACTCTCTTGTCTGCCGCATGGTCTGGCTTTTCATTTGCACGCGACTTTCTTTTCCTAGCTACAATATTGGCTCTTTTCTCTTTTGATTACAATCTGGTCCTCTGTTGGCGGAGATAACTTTTTGCTATGCATAATGCTGCCATATAAACAATAAAATACAGAAGAACTCAAAATTGATCCAGTCATTCTAGTATTGCATTAATAATATTAAGTTTACCTTTAAAAGTTCAACGATAATTCTTCTGTCGCCACTTAATTTAAAGACAATTTGATGCACGTAGGTCCTTACTTTCTGTACATGCAATTGTTTTTTTATTTCATGGGTGACTTTAGCTGGGTTTCGCAATTAATTTCGATTACTTCCAAATTTATTTCCAAGTTATAAAAATTGAAATTTTCAATACAAAACATTTCGTCGGAAAAAAAAACCATAAAAAAATCGCCGAAAACAATCGCAGTAATGAAAATTGGGATTTTGAAATTTCTGTAACACGATGTCGTGAAAGTTAGAGAGTTTTGTCCCTTTTTTTTTTTAAAAAAGTGTGACACACTGATATTTGCGTTTATTATATTGGTTTAAATAAAGATAACTGCACATATCAAACTTTTTTTTTGTAATTTTCAATAAAATAAAATTTTCTGACGCTAAACGAATTTTCTTTACTTGGACCGAACAGATGTTTAGCTAATATAATTAAATTGCTGTATTTTTAAGTGATTCAATTTACAATATGAAAAATTCCAATGGCGTCAATAGGAAAAGTCACATCTATTAATTTAAAAAAAAAATGGGAAAAAAAAAAAAATCTTCAGCAATTATAGTCAATTGAATATCAGCTATAATAAGAAATAATTCTGTGATTATAATTTTTCTCCAGCAGGTGACAACAAACATTTTTTCTGAAGACCAGATAACGTATTAATGAGTAATATGAACATTGATTAATGTTATAAATAGCTTACAATATATAGAATTATCCATTTAAATACATCAAGGATTTAACTGAAATCAATAAATAACGCATACCAATTAGTAATCAAAAATTCTATTTAGTTGAAATTTATATTACTCATAATTTTTAATCTGTTTTAAAAAATAGCACAACAATCAAACTTATAAACCTGATGAATTTATCAGTGGTGAATTTTTAAATAATAATAAATAGTAACTTATTTCAATTCAACCTGTAGATATATATTATTGATTGATTAATTCGTTTATACTGCTTATCAACACAATAGCCTAAACCGATTTTGGAATCTAAGAATAATAGTTTTTTTAGACGAATGAATATTGAATTCAAATTTTATGGATGAAAAAAAATGATATTTCAGTTTTACTATTTAACCTATAGTTTGGGAGAAAATATACATTCATACCTTTCACGAGGATATTTGCACGTATATATGAATATAACAGAAGCCGACTGAAATGAATTCGAATTCATCTCTCTAAATCATTCATTTCAAATGCTATGCGGGTTTACAGAAGGATACTTAGGATGCCATGAACCGAATATATGAGCAAAAATGAAGTTCTAGAGAAAATCGAAACAAAAAGGAATACATACGTGACACCAGGAAGAGACAGCCGAAAGCTCTAGACGCATACTGAGGAAAAAGGGCTTCGAAAATCTGATACTCACAGAACAAGAGGGACGAAGGAAAAGAACGTCTAATATCTCCTCACAGATGAAGAGGAGATTTGGGGGAACAGAAATGGGGTTCTAGTCTTGGAAAATCTGATACTCATAGGACAGATTGAAGGCGAGGTGGACGGTATCTACCAACTGCCCCACGCAGTTAGATGTGCCACAAAGGCCAATTTTTTAAGTTCCAGAGCCCGTAGGCTCAGCCAAAAAATTCTCCGTAGATCCCCGTTTAAACAGGGTCAGGTAGTTTTTTCCGACACGAGACTCTGCACTTCGACATAGACCCTGTCTGAGGATGCCTTCTGCTCAGAGGCAGAGAATTTAACCAGCCCAACTGAAGACGAATCTTCAACTGCAGGCCAGCCGACGGGACGAAGGAAAACAACGCCTGACATCTCAATGTCTCAATGAAGAGGAGACTTGTGTCAGCAAAAATGTAGTTTTAGGCTTGGAAAATCTGATACTCACATGACAGATTGAAGACAAGATGGACGAAGGAAAACAATTATTATCATCTCAGAGATGAAACGGATTGTAAAACCAAAATTACTGTTTTGGACTTGGAAAATCTGATACTCACAGAACATATTGAAAGCAAGATGGACGCAGGAAAACAACGACTAACATCTCAAAGATGAAGAGGAGATTGTGGCACCAAAATTGTGGTTTTGCGCTTAGAAACTCAGAGGACTGATTGAAGGCAAGATGGACGAAGGAAAACAGCGACTATCATCTCCTCACAGATGAAGAAGATTCTTTGGCAACAAAATATGCTTTCAACAATGCCTTGCACCGACTATGTGAGCAATGACGAATTTTTTTGAGATAGTGGATACAAAAAAGTAAACATACTTATCTGGCAGAGACATGAAAATTCTAGGGCACAAACATGTTTTGGTTTGAAAAAACTTATACTCATAGAAAATTGAAGCATAAAAGAAAACAAAACCTAACCTATTTGATGATCTTGACTAAATGGATGGCGGAACTGTTTGCGAACTAAAAAAATCGTAACATTTATTAAAATCTACAAAGGACAGGAAATTGTGGGCAGTCGTGATGGAACACGACACATGTAGAAGAATTTATTACACACACACAAAACTCATCAACCAATAGAAAAGCGTTTCTGACAAAATATAAGCAGAGCAATAAATAGATTTCAAAATATGTGGCACCAGAAAAATTGATAGCGGACTGGGTAAAAAGTTTCTAATATTAGCCCATGGACCTGTCAAAAATCCGTTCCACCCGGCAGAACGGATATTGATCGCGATATTCGATGTTTTGAAGGTGGAACCATCTCTTACTGGTTGTTACGCCCAGATCCACCTAATCCGGTTTGTAGCACCAGGTCTTGGCAAAAAAATATTCAACCCCAATTTCAAAACACTAGGAATAATACATTTTTATCAATAAACATAGCGGCAATACATGTTTTTAAAAATTACTAAAAATATATTTTTGTAGAAAAAATTATCAACCAATACATTTTGATATCACAAAATGATAATCAATAAATATGAAGAAATTATAAATATTGCCAACAATACATTTTATTATCTACAAACTATATATATCTAAAAACGAACCTTTACTTTAACAGTCTAAAATTATGTCTGTGTTTGAAGGCATAAAATTGCATTCAAAATATCTGTAGTTGAAGCCTATAGTTTTTTTGCATGCAAAAATGTTTAATTTCGGTATTAACTAACCGATAGTGTTTGATATGCATTTAACCAATCAAAGCCCAAATCCGTTCATTTGACAGGATCTGAACTCGCTGTTCTTCAATTTGCCTATTTCTGCTTTCACAATCTCCCCTTAAAGTTAGTGTTGATTTTGTTTATTTCTAGAAGCTAAACTGAAGGTTACAGCAATTACTTGACCCGATGAAAATAATAATCTGAAATATAATAAAATAAAATTTATCAGAACTGAATTTAAAAGTGGCGAAATAATACCTAATCTATTATTCAGTCTATTCTTTTTCCCTAGAATATTATACCATTATCGATTTCTCAACTAATTATTA